TGAATCTTTTAGCTTTGTGCTTTGATTTTTTTTGAGATACTTCAATTAATTTTATGCTTATTAACTCAAGGGCCGGCGTGCATTTAACTTGAAATGATACTGAAACTGCAGAATGATTGCAGCGAGCGGAAGCCAATGAGAAGAGTGTATAAAGCAGTGTTTGACATAGTTGGGGCACCACATCCACATGGACCATTAATGCTAAGGCTTCAATTCAGTGGACGAACAGGTTGGGTTCAATCCTCCAAGATGTTATTCCTGGATACTGGAAGATTGGAGCGTCTTATGACTCTCAAGTTCATCTCTAAATTACAAGAATATAATGCAAGCTGTTGCATACAGTGCAGGAGTAGCAGATTAATAATATGAGTTTAAGGGTCAAAAACATCATTGAAGTATACAAAAAAAGTTATAAATAATTCTAAATTCAACTATGAGTTATTTACATCTCTAAACTTTAAAATTTTTTCATTCTATTACCCTGGAGTTTTGTTCATTTATTTTTCTATGGGACCATGATTAAATTTTTTAATACTTTCCTTCTCTCCTTCCTTTCTCTCTCCTCCCCTACTCTCCCCCTCTCTCACTCTCTGATTTCTCCACCCCTTCCTTCCTTCACTCTCTTCTGCCCAGCTTCATCGTCATGCATGTCCACAATGCGTCATCATCTCTCCTCGCACTCTCATTTCCACCACGATAAGGCTGTGCTTCAAGCTCAAGGTTGTCAATCTGTGTAAAATATGGCCGCCATGCCCACCACATGTTGCACGCGGATGGAAGTTTTTTGCACCCCTAAACTATTTACTATTTATATAAGGAAACTACATGTACGCGAATGGAAGAGAGAGAGGAAATGAAGGAGAGAGAGGGAATGGAGAAACCTGTATCAAGTCCGACAAGGATGAGGGAGATGGCACGCATTTCCTCTCTCCTCCACTCCTCATTGAACCAGTTCTCTCTCTCTCTCTCTCTCGCATTCGCGATCACACTCCCTGTTCATGCACACACACTCTATGCATGGGGTGGCAATGGAGATGCTAGTGGCGAGGTGCATGAGGTTCGAGAAGGCGAATACAGCCACAAGGGAGAGAGAGGGAGAGGAAGGGGGGAGAGACGAAGAGTGTGAGAAACGTAGTGCATGCGTGTATGTTCAACCTGACCAAGGAAGCTAGCGACAGTGCAAGCGAGCGTGCATGGATTCAACCCGACCAAGGAGGCATCCATGCTCATCCTGTCCAGCCCATCCACAGCAGTCGCCAGAGCTGTCATGGCATTGGTGAGGATGAGGACCAGAGAGAGGAGGGAGAGGACGAGAAGAGGGGGAGAGAGAGAGGAGAGAGAGGAAGACGGGGAGTGAGATACGAGAAGGCCAAGAGGGAGGGAATGATGGAATGGATTGCAGAGAGAGGGAGAGGGAGAGAGGAGAGGTAAGGAGAATTTTAAAAAATAATGTGGGACCCACAAATAATATTTTACAATAAAAAAGATGAAAAAATTCATACGTAAACCCCCTAACAGAAAAAATAAACGGATAAAACTAAGGATAACAGAACAAAAAAATTTAAAATTAAAGGATATAAATAATTTATAGTTGAGTTTAAAATTATTTGTAAGCCTTTGAATGTATTTCAAAGATATTTTCGACCCTTAATTCAATAATATGTCTATTGAATAAATACATAAATAAATAATAGGGGTTTGTGCACTTTCCATTTGTGATGGAATTAACATATGAATGAAACCTCTTTGTTTGGATCATTGGTGCATTGATGAGAGTTCTGCTCATGCAGTATCTGAAGGCGGGGACCCGAGTCAGCATAATTAAGGCACTCTGATTCGAAGGTTTTATGCCTTAACGACCAAGAGCAAGTTAATTTTCATTGGTTCAAAACATCACGATTGTGACACAATCGACATTTGTTCAAACGCTGAGGAGAAATGAAATAGGACACATACTTGATGTGAGCTTACAAAAAGAAAATTATCATCGTCTATCTTTTCCCTCGTGCAACCTAACGTGCCATTGTTAGACCCAAACAAAAGGAAACAAGACTTTAATCCGAAGAAATAAAACATGAAGAATAGGTAGATAGATACATATAACACATGGATACGTACGTTACAATCCATTAGATTCTGTGTCATTTCTCAAGTTAATCTGTGCAGACTGCCAATAAAAAAAAAAACAAAAAACCCCCCATGGCGGTCTCATCCCGTACACCAAAAGATAGATAACCCATTAACTCCTCATATATATATATATATATATATAGAGAGAGAGAGAGTATATTTCAATAAAATATTCATCGCATTGAAATTTTATCACAAGTCAATTCGAAGCTAAGGAAGCATAACCATTAACCTCTGAATAATCAATACAGCCTTTTTTTGCCAGAACAATACAACCATATCTATTTTAAAAGTACCAATAAGAATCACTCAAGAATTATCTGATCAAATTCTAGCAATGCATCCACAACAACACGTACGAGATCAATATCACTCACACAAAAACTTCACCAATAGTCTGTGCAGACTCCCGTCAAATATCAAATATTAATTGACGAAGTGTACACACACCAGTTTCGCTAATACAACAAGTCAACAATAAATGGAATCAAGTAACCAATATGACACAGATCAAAGATAGATCTATCATGACCCCAACGGATCAGATATATAATGTTTATATATCTTTGTTAGACTACAATTTCATGAGAGAAAGAAGTAGAGGGGGGACAAAATGTTCACATTCGCTGCTAACCCGACTGAAGAGTTCGATCAAATATTTTTCAGGATTTTTTTTTCCTTGTTTTATATATTATACGTGCGTACCATCAAGCTAAGCTGGAATATAATATTAAAAAAAAAACAAAGGGAGGAAAACTTGGGCTAAGGTAGATTAATTGGATAATATATAACAAAAAGAAAATTTAATCTTATTATTCAACCTAGAGTTTTGATTCTGAATGTGATTAAGAACAATTATATATTTGATAAAGAACAAGAAGGTTGAATAAAAGCGAAAATGAGAAAAATATAGCACCCTTTCTCTAAACAGTAATAGGCTTTAAAAGTAAGAAACTAAGAATTGAGATGGTAGTAATAATTAACTTTATTTTATCAAATCAATATATCAATAATCAATACCTTGTGTAAAAATAAAATAATTTTATACTGTTATATTTTACTAATGTTTCTTATGCAGGAGGGATTTGAATACACTACAGGTGCATTACATGGGATTTTACCACTTTTTTTAAATAGTATAAACTATGACCATATTGAGATTTAAATACCCCAAATCCGCCCCATATTTGGATTCTAAAATATGCCTCATTTGAGCATGCAGGAATCTTGTGTAGAATATTTAAACTCTCAAATCATGTTAGCAGCTATAATGATCAAATATAAAATTGATCTACCATTTTGGATTGACATGTCAAAATGACCTATTAGATTTTTTCTTCATGCAGATGAGCCAATCCCTATTTCATAATCAAATTAAAATAAGTGACTTGAACCGGATTAAATTTTATATGTAAAAACCCTTCTCTTGGTAAAGTGTGTAGATTTTTATCTTAGGATTAACTATATTATGTTCTCTTTGGCTACATATATCAGGCTCCCAATCTTTGAATCAAACTAAGTCTGCCGGTTTGTGGATCTTCGTAGGGGAAAATGCCGCAGAAATACATGTTATGCAATTTGGTATTGTAATTAATGATAAATAGATAACTTTGGATATGTAGATAGATACCTACCCGCAGAGTTCTAAATGCTAGGAGTGTGATGCATTTAACTATTCAAATCCAATCCTGAGATCCAAGGGAAAGAAAAGTTGGAAAAACTATTTCACTTTCTATACCTAAGGCCTGCATTATAATCTATAAATACCTCTGGTCACATCACATCTTTGCTTCCTTCAACTACATCACATGTGCTCTTCCATCTAACTTGGTTTGCTGTTGTTAATTTGAGGCAATGAAACTTAATTGTAAATACCACGTAGGCCTTATTTGTGTGATGCTGCTCGTATCTGCATTATGTACCTCCCAAGGCTTTACATCCTCCAGAGCTACCATTTATGGGATCCCAGGATCAGAATGCCGCTATATAAACCCAAGTACGTGACCCTACGTACCCCTCTCCACATATCACATTGTTTGATTCCTTAAAAAAATTATTTTTTGTGCAAGCACATGGTCGAGGCTTGTTAAAAACACTTCAAAATGTTTGATTAACAAAAAAGAAGAAAAAGTCAATACAGTTTAGAATGAAAAGAGTTGTTGCCTGGTTGTAACATGTTTTATAGTAAGAATTGAGATCATAGTTAATGACTCAAACCAAAAAACCAAATCAGAGGGATTGTAGTTGCCCTGTTTTGACAAATTTGATCAAAAAGAGAATAGAGATATTGCTATATCATTGCTCATGGATTGTAAGATTAAATAAATGTTATGATGAAACAAAACTAATTGCGCAAATATAAAACCATTTCCGAATCCAAGGATGCGTATGTGCTGGCAAGTGAGTGCCAACGTTGATTACTTGTCCTTTTGCTGCACCTATACATTTTCATGATGCCTCTAATCCCTCGGTCAAGTTTGCCGGTTTGTGGATCTTCATTCTTCCTGCAACAACAATGTCCAGTGGCAACAAGTTAGGTAATCTGGCATTGTATTCGTAAATAGATGACTTGACCTCGTCGATATCCATATAAAATTGTACCCCCAACTTGCTAGGGTCTACTAGTGCCCTCCATTATTCCTCTACAGGGCACTTCATTATTCCAATCCAATCCGGAGCTCCAAATGTGGAAGAAAAGTTAGATGCATCTCATCGTCTATAAGGCACGAGGCCTCCTCTGTCATCTATAAAAACCACTCTATCCTCTGCTTTCTAACCAGTGAACCCATTCCAGGGTCCAAGCCTAATTACCTCATCTATAGTTTCTTTCTTGCATTGAACTCTGGTGCGTACGAACTTGAGGCATTTAGAAATGGAACTTCATTCTAAATACCAAGCCGTTCTTGTTTGTGTGATGCTGCTCTTCCCTGTGCTGTGCATCTCTCAAGACTTCACAACCTCCAGAGCTACCTACTATGGTAGTCCTGATAGCTATGGAAATCCAAGTACGTGAAACTCGTTGCATTTTTTGCATTCAAATCAAACCCATAGCTATATATATATACACATATATGATTTCTGACAGAATGATAAATATGTGATTAGGGGGAGCTTGTGGGTATGGCGAATATGGAAGGACTGTGAATGATGGGAGCGTAGCAGGCGTATCTGGACTTTGGAAGAAAGGCTCTGGATGTGGTGCTTGCTACCGAGTATGTCTCTTAACACAAAAACGACGCCCTGTTTTCAAGATATTATAACTCAATCCGATTTTAGTTGCTTACGTGCTAAAAGCCTAAAATAAAGGATAACTATGATTTGGAGGTTCAACATGGTGTGATATAAAATAATAATTGTACGGAATGATTGGGGTTCAGGTAAGGTGTAGGGATGCACAATACTGCGATGAATACGGATCGCTGGTAGTGGCAACAGACTACGGTGAAGGAGACAGAACTGACTTCGTGATGAGTCCACGCGGTTACTCGAGATTAGGACGAAATCCAGAATCATCGGCGGAACTGTTCAAATACGGCGTCGTAGCGGTGGAATACACGAGGGTCACCTGCACATTTGCTGGCGCCAACCCGCTCATCAGAATCCACGAGTCCAGCAAATACCCAGACTACCTTGCTCTCGTCGTTCTCTACATGCCCGGCCAATTCGATATCGTCTCCATGGAGATATATCAGGTTTGAAATTTCAACCGAGTGATCTTGTTTTCCTCTTTGGGGGGTAATTGCTGCAAGTATCAAACGAAATGATGACGACGCAGGTTGACCGAAATGAATGGAGGACGATGAGGAGAGCGTTTGGAGCGGTGTTTGACATAATTGACGCACCACATCAAGCAATTATCGTGAGGCTGCAGCTCGTTGGGACGGCAGGGCGCTACTGGGCAGAGTCCAAGAGGGCTATTCCAAGTGATTGGAAGATTGGAGCTTCTTATGACACCCAACTAAACATAGATTAATTCCTGGAAGGCTCAAGAATGCAAGCTATTAGTGCTTTGTTCGCTGGAATACAATTGCAGGGATTCCTGAGAGAGAAGTAATATTAATATAATGAATAAAGAAACCTGTTGGTCCCAATGTGCTAATGGAAGATGATCACTATCCTTTTCTTTTCTTTTGTTTGTTCCTCGCCTAGCTAATTGGCTGCAGGTGCAAGAGGGACAATAGAAATACTGTAGTACTTTAAAGGGTCCTTGATGGAAAGCCTTGAAACAACCAAGATCAAGTTTCCATTGGCTCGTCCTAACAATTCTGACATCGATACTTAGACAGACAGGAAAAAATACAACTCAACTCATAACGTTAGTTAGCACTAGTTTTGGTAGCAACCAATCGTGTAGTGGCTTCTCCCGGGTTGTCTTATTCACTTAAGAAATTAACTGATAAAAGACAGGGTAACCTAATGATGTCTCTCTGTCATGTAATTTTAAGAACGCTGGCCACAGATGTTTGACAGACAATCCAACCCCTTAAATCTAGGATAACAAATCCAAATACACACAATAGTTAGGTGTAAATGTAACGTCAAATGAAATATATGACAAATGTCTCGTGTCCCAATATAAAAAATCATCAACAAATATTATTATTCAATAATAATAAAATAAAAAAATTACCTCTATCTTTCTCTTCCCTCATGCAGCAAAATGTACCATAGTAGGTATCATAAAGACCCAGATAGAAATAAAAGGAAACAACTAACAGACTTGAAACGGAAGAAATACTGAAATAACAGTTGAAGAATAGTTTGAGGCCAAATAGACAACGACGTGACAATCAACATTATCATATCATGGTCATTGTAAGCGACTAAGTCTCATTTCTCGAGTTGATCTGTCGGCGTGTTACCAGAAATGAAAGAGGCAATGAAGAGCATCCAGAATCTCCAGACTTCATAGTCTGTATGCACAACTTCTCTTATTAAATTTCGAACACTTTCTTGAAGAAATTCACCAAAGCAGCAAGCCAACTTGTAACAAGGATTTAAGTCATTCTGTTTAACCTAAGAAAAGACACAATAAGTGGGTGAACAAGGTCGGTGCAGGCTGCCATCAAATAAACCCAAGGCAGTCTCATCCATCCAGTGCACCAAATGATAGACAACCCTAATAACTCTAATTTTCTATCAAATAACTCTTTAGAATTTAAACAAACTCTTGCAAACAGGTGGCATTATCGAGGGACTGATATAGGTACTCCAAGAATGTTGCCTCCCTCCCCAGAGAGATGTTGCACGGAAATTAGGGGTAGTTTGGGAATTAATCTAAGGAGTAACAGGGAATTAGTATTAAGAGCAGTTAGGCCGTTTTGTCTATGCATCTATTTTAAACAGGTGAGGATGTGCTGTATTTTGGTGTGAATGAATTAAGTATCCTGTGATTCGGTTTATTGTTACCATGCATTAAATGGTATCACAACTTGGTTGAATACCTGGCAAGAGAGGTTCTTGTAAGAGAGATTCTTACAAGAGAGTTAGAGCTTCAGGAGAAGCTTAACAATCCACGCAATGGTGGAAGGAATTCCACACACACTTGACCACAATGTGGGGGGTGGAGGAGGAAATTGGCCTTGGCGAGAATCTAGAGCTCACCCCTACAGATGACAAGATGAAGAGTGAGGACGAGCCAGAACTTACTGAGGAGAAAGATGAGCAAGACAACAACAATAACGAAGCATAAACAGACAAAACAGAAGGTGCATGTCAAGACAACAGAGAACCAAATCACATAATTCATTCACACCTAAATACAGCATATCCTCCCCCATTTTATAATTTAAGTATAGACAAAATACCCAAGCTGTCTGTCCTTAATACTAATTCCATAATTACTCGTAAGATTAATTCCCAAACTACCCCTAGTTCCCATGTAACAGGAGAAAGGAAAAGCATGTCCCTCCCCTAATTCCTTCTCTGTTTATTGTTGTACAAACCTTAAGCAACATTCAACCAAAAAACATGCATGCCCAGAACAAGTCTCCAACAGATTGAGACTAGATGGAAAAGCAATTGTTTCAATACATATGCAGTGCTGTAGCTAATATATGTGGAGTAAATCCTAGTTAAAATTTCAGTACTCTGATGGATGCCACCTACCACCTTTCTAAAGGAGCAAGAGTCATCAATGAAAAGGCAACGACTAAACAAGCCAAACACCATCAGAAAGAAAATAATCATAATCATTGTTCATGACTAAGATTCGATGAGAAAAAAGAAATTACCCTGTGCAAGCCTCAATACATCCTACCAGTACACTCTGCGGAACCACAAAAGCAAGCCTTCCTCTTTATATTGCCATCAGAATCATAAACTTGATCTATCATGTAATTATAATCATAACACAACTCTTGCAGAGGAGGAATATTTTCAGCAGCAAAAAGCATAATATGAGGTATTCTCTTGTCATCATGATCATAAAGAACATTTTGAGCATAAAGATTAGGGGAGCAACTATGGTTGATAAATCTCCCAACATTGCCATACTGGGCAGCATCAATGGTGAAGCCACTATTTTCCACAATTTCACAAGAACTTGACTGTGCCTCAGGTATTAGGCTTGAAAGTCCATCCCAAAGAGTATTGTTGATGAGATTCCCGATATCAAACAGATATTCATCATTACCAGTTCTTTGTTCTGCTTCCTTCTCTTCAAGAAGCTCTCCTATATATTCACAGATAAAACTTCCTGAAGGGATGGAATTTAGCGATCTCACACCCCACCCTCTTGTCTTGGTTTTAAAAATTTCGAGTTGAAATTTTATGCCATGTTGGCTGACTCTGTTATGACATGTTGAAGGACACTTGCAAGAAGCACTACACTCATAAACAAGAGGCTTTGCTTCTACAATGGCCCCATTATGATTGTATGGGATCTCTCCCCCATTTTTGACCGCACAAGAACATTTGTCAGAGTCAGAGCATTCATTTGTACAACTACATCCCTCTGGAGGAATGGGATTGCACCAATTAGGGTATATCATTCTAGTTGTGTATTCAAATGGTGGGGGTTTCTCATCATCTATCGTGTTCACAACACATATTGGAATTGACTCCTTCCCATTAGAAATGTCCTCAACACATAGACCCCCCCTTTTTTTGAATTTTTTGCATTCTTTCACTTCTTTCCAAGCAAGTTCTGGTTGACCTGGGATTCTTCGCATCCGAAACCTATAAACCAACTTACCATGTGGCCCCATATCCTGCCAATATGCCTCAACTTCATATAGCCCATCATAAACATATCTCCTACATTTTCCATCTGTTGATACACAGCCACGTATTACCCTGACAGGATTCTTTTCTGTGACACTGTTCTTCAAAGCAAGATTGCCCCTCTTAAGCTTCTGATCTTCAGGTTCTTTACCATTCTTTGACATACTTCCCCCCTGCCCGGTATAAGTCAAGACATCTGAACTGCCCAACTCATCAGCATAGCCTTTAGATGAAACCACACTAGTTGCAAGGATCTTACCATTATGCACTACAGAATCTATGCCTCCCTGAGACTGGCGATGAAGACCGATCATATTAAGCTCCACCCAGTACTGAAATTCATCACCAACTTCAACCCCAGGGACAGGTCCCAAGATTGGCTTCCCCGTGTTAACATATTTCCCTTTCTCCTTAAGGATCTGAGATGCTATTGTATCAATCCTCCTATGAGCGTTCCCTTTGTTTTTTGAATGTGCTTCATCCTCCTGTAATAGCTTTCTAGTAACTGCTTGGAAAAGGCGCAATGTCTCCCTCACTTTATTTCGAGTCACATTTGAGTCTCTGTCATTACCACTCAGATTTCCATGACCAAAAGGAGGAACATAAACATCAAAACCTTGGGATCTTGGGACAACACTTGTCTCTTCAATATTTTTATCTGAGTCAAGAGTATCTTTATTCTCCCAAACTACTAGTTGACCCATACCTTCAGCAGCACGACTTCCTTTTTTCTTTATTACAGGCTTCTTCCCAAGACAATTTGGTGAGTCTTTAGACTTGGCAGCAACCTTAGACCTATCAAACCGTGCAAAAAAATCAGTTTTCTTTCGCTTTCCTCCAATTTTACCACCCAACATACCAGATTTGGAAGAACCTAGATTATTCCTCCAAGGACATGTCGATTCAGACATCAAGCCTAGGACAACCATCCTGCTAGATGGAGCTTGCAATTCATTGAAATCTCGTTTTGGCTTATGATGGCAAGAAGATGTATCAAGAGGCTCTGCCACAAGGCTTTGGGCTCCTGAATAAACTACTATCTCCTTTCCTAGTGTTTCCTCAAGCTGTATAGCATCTCTACTTTCTTCTTCAACTACAGTTGGGGTACTTGTTAATACTTGATTGTGATTGCTATCATCAGGAAGTGCAACGTGCTTATCTCCTGAATCTTCTGGTAGCAATTTCATGTCAGAAGATGCTCCAAGTTCATCTAACTTATTCACTCTCCACATAAAATTCCCTTCAAAATCACCTTGTACTATATTCACTAGATTGCAAGCATCTCCACATTCAACGTTCTTTTCCTTTTCTTTCACATTAGAGGCGACAACCTTTTTCACTTCCTTGTCATCTACAACCAAGTCCAGTTGACCCTTGATTTTTTTATCTTGAGAAGAGATCTCCTCTAAACACCCATCCTTACCAAGGCGTGGAGCATTTCGTCCACATAAAGGAGGAAAGTCTCTAGTGGCTGAAACTTTTCTTTGGGGAAAATGCCTTCTTGTTACACTCTTACCCAAACAATCAATAGAATCAGCCAAGCTTACATTTGGTGACAAGAATTTACTATTTAATAGAACCACCTCACCTACCAAAGAAGAAGGGCCATTTTTATGCAAGTCTTTTGACGTTTTAGAAGAATCACATTTTACCCCTTCTGCAGTTCCTAATTCCAAGTCTTCCAAACCAACCAACCCCATTTTTACAGTTTCATCATTCGTCAAAGGAGGCTCATCCACAATTTTTGATGAGACCATTGACATTTCCTTCTTCCGACTATAGACATTGGATTGTCGGAGAGTCTGAGTAGGAAACATAGCATGTTGGGACTCATCCTCAAGCTTGGAAGTTCTAGCTAATCCATCCTTTAAATCTTCACCACTCTTATCCTCATCTACTATACCTTCATCAACACCAAAGTTAGTAGTATTTACATTTGGTGTTAAATCAATTCTAGGCACAAACCGTCCACAACCTTCAGGAAAATCCCGAATGGCAGACACTTTTCGACGCTTAAAATTGAGCTGGGTAAGAACAATGCAATGCCCATTTTCCATTGATGGTTTCCCAAATCTTTCATCGTTATTGCTGTTATTGGTTGATGTAACCATGGTTAATGACTTTGAATGCAGCATATTCTCCATAACCCCCATCACCAATTGAAAAGCATAAGAACCGATGCACACTACTGAAGCTTTGACAACCAATATTCTTATCTGTATGAAAATCGAACCATTCAACAGCAAAGTAAAAATTACAGACTTGATATATCATCAAAAATTAGAAGAATTAGGAGCACTTTGATATATGGGTATAAGTCTAGGGTGTTACATTCATACATTGCGAAAAGACAATCGATAGAACCTCATTTGTGAAAAGTACAATCAAAATAAAAATATTACAAGCCCCATGACAAAACATTCATCATTTACGCACAAAAAGGAAAATTATACCCCTAAGGGGGAAAGGAAACATATACACCGATACTTTTGGGCAGCCAAAACACCTTTCACAAAACCAAACTTTGCAGAGAAATGGTGCAACACATAACAAGGTAATATAAAAATCACAAGAATTTAAAACTTAATCAAATAGAAGGGTCACCTAATAACCATGAATTCAACCCCTAAACCTAATGGCCAATATAAATTGGTGAGTTCGGCGAAAAAACAGCTACATTGAAGCATGGTTATTGAGGCCAAGCCACCCTGAATTTTAATCGAGTGAGCTATCAATATCCGGGTTCTCACTTCAAAGACAGAATACAGAGGAAAGATGAGTTACCTAGAAACAAACGCAAGTACTTAAATAACAACAACAAAACACTAGTTTTCACCAAAATAAGAAATATTCTAGGAAAATTACAAATAGGTCCCATATAAGGAACTTATACATAAATAAGCCCCACAAATTTACTAAAATACAAGCAAGTCCTTTGGGACCCAATTGTAATTTAATTTCACTATAAAAAGACCACCCTGCCCTTAAGAATAAAAAGAGAAGTTGGACGCTAAAACCATACACTTTCCTTTCTTCTCCCCATGCCCTAAATGCTAAATCACGTCTTCATGAAGAACAATAGAAGCCATAAACTTGATTGCTAATCTTAGTGCCCTCTCACATCTTTGGTGAAGAACCACAAAAGCTTTGCCTCCACACCCATCAAGGCTGTCATCTCTTGAACCCAAAAAGAACCATCCTTTAGGAACATGACAGAGAATAGTGCACAAGAAGAATGATGAAACCACCTAACCATGATGAAGCATTATTTTGCCACAATCTCCTAGCTTGAGATGAGTTGAATGCTACTTGTTTGGTTGCTGATAAAGTTACCAATTGCTGAATGCTTTCTCATGTTTCTCACCTTTTTGTCTATGAATTCTGTTGACAATTTTCCTCATATCTGATATCGAATTATAAAAGCAATCAATGTTGTTCCTATAATTATGGATTGGCCTGGATTTTGCATGGTGAGTAAGTTATTGCATGAATTGAACCTTTCTTGTTGATAACAACGAATTCCTCGTTGGGTCGGTGATAAGATTTTGTTTTTTGGTGGGTTTTGATGACAAAAAATAACTGAATTGATTGACATCTACTTGTTTGACATTTACTAAATTGAGATGATTAACAAGTGATTATGGGGTATTTACAAGTAATCTGCTAGTGATTTACACTTGGTTTGGCTTAAATGTTTGTCATGTTTGAAGGACACATATTTGCATTGTGAAAATAGCACACCCTCATTAAGTGCAATGTGATTTTGAAGTTAGAAGTTTGTGGTAGTTGTTTCTCTGAACAAGTTATAGGTGCTCTTCTATGATTTTGTACTGAACCTCATGTCATTTATAATTTGTTCATTTGTATTTTAGATTGAAGTCTGATTGTGTTAGCAATATATGTAGTTATAGGTAATACTAATTACAAGTACATCTATAATTTAAAAGTTATCTTCTGTATTTTACATGTTATATTGTTTGATCTGAATACTTGATCAACATAGGCAAAAACAACTTGAATTCTACAAGTAAAACTGATTACAAGTGTTTATCTCTAATTTACAAGTATAAATTTGTGATTTACAAGTCGTCTTCTATTCTTTACTTGTGACACAATTTGATTTAAACGTACAGTACTCTATTGTTTACAATTAAGTCTCACAAATTTACAACTGGAATTTCCTAATTTGAAGTATCTACAAATAATTTGTTGATGACTTACAACTATTTTGGTTTAAATGTCAATTATGCTGACTGTGTGTTTTTGCAAATCAACATAGGGTGCAATGAATCAATTGTGCATTGATATGGCATGGGACTTGGTCTATGACTCGAACAACATATAAAGGGAAGATGTAATGGGCTTTCTTGAAACATGACAAGCCAAAGAGAAAGAGGGATAAGAAAGCGTTTGACACTTGCTCTGGTGGCTTTGTTGTTATTAATGTGTACTGGCCTCAATTTGGGGTTTGTTATGCATTAATTGTGGGAATTTTATTATGCATTAAAAAATGTTTTCTATTTTTTGTCATTTACTACTATAACTTCAGAATTGACAGCTAGATTTCCATTATTCACAACTCTATCTTAGTTATTTCTAATTGGAGTTAAAGTTGAATGTGTTCATGCTCATTGGGCAAAGAACCACTCATGATCTTTTGTGGTTATTAACAAGTGGTCATCTTAGATTTACAAGTTAAAATTCTCAATTTACATATGTAAATTCATTATTTACAACTAGCATGGTGTGTTTAATGGGATGAATGTTCATGACTTTTTTTGGTCATTAACAAATGGTCATCTTGAATTTACAAATGAGAATTCATGATTTACACATGAAAATTTATTATTTACAACTGGTGTGGCAGGTGTAAATGGGGTGAATGTTATGATGTCTTCGACCTTTTTTGGTCATTAAAAACTAGTCATCTAGGTAACTCATGATGGAGAAACACCAGAATCAAAGACCAAGCTTCTAATTTATTCTCAAAGGAACACAAAGTACCTACCAACTTGAAATTACAGCAATTCCAACTTACTGGAAACTACAATATTGAATGACCCAGGTTCTAAAACAATCTTTAATTTCAATATGTATGTAGCCTATTAAAAACCAAGTTTAGGATCATCCTATAATCACCCTGAAAATTTGAGAACAAAGACATAGCCCATTAAAATGCTTTTGGGGAGTTCACTCCAGTAGATATATTTCTTCCTGACAAAAACTAAACATGGTGAAGAAGATAAGCGCTTGATCAAAGATAAAATAAAGAGGAGATGTTAATAAGAATTTTAAGGGGCTCAATAAAGTCAAATTGATTAAATATGGATTAAGGGGCCCAATAAGAATTTTAACCAGTAATGAAACTGTCCATGTATTCTGCAGGGAATACTTCCTCGCCGTTTCCTTCTCCTTCTAATCTTATTTTGTAGCAGAAAAACACTGAAGATGGGGAATCAGATACATAGAATTGTGTTCAAGAAATTAAAGATTCTATGGATGATAGAAAGCTTTATATATATATAAAGAGACAAGAATCTGATTTCAAAATCAATGGAATCATGCAAAGACATTAGAGAGGAGCCTGCAGATGGATGGAAGGGGTGGTTGCGATCGAAAGAATGAAGAAGGCTAACTTACCGTGGATGGAGGCCGAAACGCTGAAGACGACAGAGGAAGATGAGAGCAGTAGAGCCTCCTTTCCCTGGTTCTTCTTTCTCAATCGCTCTAGTTCAGGTTTAGGTGCCGTCGCCCCACTCTCTTCGTCGCCAATAGTTCTTGCTCTAGCAAGGTTCGAGTTCAGGTTCGCGGGTTAACCATATGACAAGGCTAGTGCTCCAGCAACGATGCACCAGAAGGTTAGGGTTGAGTCTGACATCGAGAGAATTGTTTTAGGAATTCCTTTTTGGACAAATTGATGAAAAGGAAATAAGGAATGGTTAAAAGAGAAATTGTGCTCAAAAATGCCCCTCCATTTAAATATATAAAATTAAAAAAAATATAGTTTATTCAAACATACACCCCAAATTAAAAGTATTGTATCTCAAATCAAAAGCCTTACGTTCAAGTCAAAAATCTTGTATCTCAACCAAAAGCCTTACATTCAAGCAAAAATGAATTATCTACTTTAGATGAGCGAATTATCTAATTTTTTTGCTTTTTGGGTATGTATCTTTTTTGTTTACCAAATATATGAGTGATCGAAGCCTTTTGAGCAAAATAATTTATTACATCAAATTCTGGTATGGTAGTATCAATAGAAGTATAGCTCATCCTGACCTGTGAGCGATCTTAGAAAAAGGTCTTTTACACTTCGGTGATGACATAAGGTTTGACGAGCATTCTCAGGTGGTGGAATAATACAAGGCTTGTGGCTTGGGATGCAAGGCTTTTAATTTGGGTATAAAAAATCTTTCACGGGTGAAAGACTTCTGGCCTCGGGTGCAATGCGTGTGGCCTAGCCTAAGGTGCAAAGCTTGTAGCCTAGGATATAAAGCTCATGGTTTGAGGTGCATGTGTTGAACATGCAGTCTTTTTTTTTTTTCAATTTCATTTGTTTAAATTAAGGGACATTTTAGTCATTTGATCATATTTTTTAATAAATAAAATATTTAATTTAGTCCTTAAATTCAACTTGATCTTTAGACACAATTCATCTTTTAAGTAGTTCATTTTCACCAATTTTTCCTTCCATTTTTTTTTTGTCAAAGGTAATTTGAAGATTTTAGGCAACAGATTTATGTTGTTTAAAATAAAAAAATTATTTGTTAATGTTTTTTAGATAACATTTTAGAGAACAAAAAAATTAAATATTATTTTAAAGAATAGAAAGAAAAAAACATCTTTTAAATATTTTAAAATTATTGTTCTAAAGAATAAAGGAAAATAAAAAATATATGTTTTGATCTTTTTATTTTCAAAACAAATTCTATAAAACATCAATTCTCATGATAATAAAATAAAAATAATTTCAAACAAGTCTTTTTGTTAAAGGTGCTTTTGTCTGTACATACCTACTAGATTTTACTATTAGTGCAATATAGATCATTCATTAAAAGTTATTAAAATTGATAATAATTCCATATTCAATGTTGCCATATAACACAATATGCTTTTCAAACTATGCTTCAAACTCTCTCTGGATTTGTCCAAGTTAAATGTATTTATCATACTTTTCAATGAATGACAAATTTCATCATGTAACACCATATCATACAAATTCATTAACTAAATAATCATCCAACATCTTCTACACTGAAATTAAGAGTACAACATGGATTGTCTTTTCTTTTCTTTTCTTATGTTGGACAATATGACATAGATTGTCTTGATTATCAAGTAAATTTCTAAACAACTCTCTATAAACAACATTGATAGCAGTAATAACTTCTTTCCCTTCATTGTGAGGCAACAATATCTTCAATTCATCTACTATCCTCACTCAAGATAAAGCAACATATAATTGGCCATATGTGAAGACTAGTTTCAATAAGTATAGCTCAACATATTTTAATAATTGACCTTGACTTTTGCTTATAGTCATGGCAAAAGAATGATTAGGAACTAAATAATGCATCAATTGACTTGCATAAGGAGTCACAACTTAAGTACTCAACAAATTCACCAAGAAGTAAAGAGCACATATAATCTTTACTTGATTAACACTTCTAATTATTGGCCTTAGAATTGCCCTGCCATTAAAGTACTGAGTGCCAAATATATTATCCAATATATTAGGATAAGTAGACATCACAATTTCTTCAATAAGATCTTTGTATCCGTTTGGGCTAAATATGAAACATTACTCAAATAGGTCACAAGGCTAGTTAGGCTGAGTAATTAAAGCGTTAGACCCAATATAAACGAAAGAAGTCAGCCCCAAAGCTTAATAAGAACCATAATAAGTAAACATGCTGAAATCCTATCAGTTGCAAATGTTAGATCGTTAGCACAAATACATGATCTTAAATAATACCAAACATGGCACAGTCTTTATTTAATGCTCTTCGTTTTGGTAACTAGCCCATTTCATAGAGATACTTGGGCGTAGATTTTGACATTACTTAAGATCATGTCTTCGTGCCAATGGTCTAATATTTGTAACTGATGAGATTTCAACATGTTTACTGTGCCATGAGCTTCACGAGATTCCTGATTCTTCGGCAAAAGTGCTAGGTTTCAAGGAAGAGGCTACCGCTACTCTGACACTATAAATAAAAGAAAAAAATATAAAAGAAACTAGTCAACACTCAATCAAAAACTCACAAATTTTACATTCGTTAACCCTTTTTAGATTTCAATTTTAGGTCTGTAATCTTTTCACATTTCAATAACAATCGAACACTTGTTCTACCAAACTCTATCTTTTTACATTCGAGTAAACTGTGGTAAGGAAGCTCGAGACCTTTTTGTTATTAATTGAGACTCAGCATCTTTGATACGCCTGGTATTTGTTGTTCACATATGAACAATATCCAATTATCAACAAATGCCTTGGAATTTCAATATCAGTTGCTCCATCAGCTGCTTGGCCTAATTTTTTTTATCACCAACATCCAACAATCATTTTGAAAATTTTTCCAACAAATCATTATCTTTGGTTGAAGAAGATGAACATGACCACATATTTTTTTATCAAATTGAATATCGTGAAATGATCCCAAAGGGGCGAAGAGCTTATTAAATTATGAAAAAAATTATTTCTTGTAAAAGTTATTTAAAAGGAAGATTTCAATGACAATGAAACCAAAATTTTCTACATAAAAACCAACAAAAAATTTGTAAGAGGCTTAAGCATAGCAACAACTAAGTGCATGACAAATAATAATATTATTGGTAAATGCAATTAAGACTTCTGAAGTAAATATATTTAGGCTACTTAAGAATAAACTCCCAACCAAAAAAAAACAAAAAGGCTTGGCTAAAAAGTGTCTGTTTGATTAGGTTGTAGAGTTAGAATATTAAATTCTAAAACTATAAATTTAGCATTTATCCATTGAGATTTATGTTAATTCAATGGAAAAAAAATGAATACATCTTGCATGATGATCTATTGTTTGATCCTTATCCTAGGAAGTGACAGATCCATAGGACACAAAAAAAAAGTTATTTTTTACTTGTCAAAAATATTAGAATTAAATTTGGCCCCCTAGCTTTCACATAAGCTTTTGGCTCCCATGAATGTTTTTCTACATAAGTCCCTAATCATGTATAGCTCATCAACTCTAACTTCAATGGGGTCTAGTCTATATAAAGTGGTTGCCATGTCATTGATTATCAGTAAAAAAAAACTGATCATCAGTATTTAATCTATATCAATACATATTTGCTTATAAAAAAATCAAAACCCTATATTTGCTTTTTATATATAAAATTGGTGCCTGCTGCCAATGAGTCTTACGACATCACCAATAGATTGAAATGGATGAATTTGTGAGTAATCAAAATGGGACTTCACGATGAGATGAAAATTTTCTACTTTTTCAAGAGTGATTAAAATTGATGTGCACAATAATAAACTTCACTTGTATGTACTCTTAGAAAGAGTGGGACTTCACTCAAAAAATTTCTATGAAAGTTACTTAACGAGTAGATTGTAAGATCTTTATTTTGACATAAACAATCTAGTCAAGTTTATATTGTCAAAAAGATTAGATACACTTCTGAGCTCGTAAAATCACTTGAGTTTGTTGTGTCTAGGATAAAAATTCTATACCCTCTTCAATTGGGTGCTCCTTTATTTGATGCTAGCCATGCTTTTGGAATAATGGCTGTTTTAAGTCTCATTAATTAAGGTATTGTCATGTCATACTTATATTATGTATATGCTTTGCATATAGAAATTCATTGGTGGTTGGTGATAAAGAAAAGTAATCTTTTATTTGACAAGGCATACAAAGCTATGTCACATCTATCACGTCTAGATAATTTCACTTATGTATGCCTTCAAACAAAGCAAACTGAAACTATATTTCATAAAATTGGTATTGTCATATAAACCAATAAAATAAACATATAAGAAGTCATCTTTCTTACATGAAGCAAAAGATGACAAGTAAATTAGGATAATAGAAATAGTTTTTTAGGATATAAAAAAGCCACTATCAAAAGCTAAAATGATATAACACAAAAATGACAATGGTTGAGAGGAAAGAAAGCACGCATTAATACTTTAGGTAAAACTTGAAACTATAACCAAGTCACATGCATTAGTATAGGGAAAAAAATTATAGGATGCAGATCGCTAATGGTAACTTTGAATAAAACATTCCACATCAAAAATTAGAATAAAATATTTATTTTTAACTACGGAGATACTAAGGTGTGTGCTTACCTTTTCTAACTTAGTACATAAAGATTAAGACATTTATATTCGAGTGTGTTTTAAATCTAACAAAAGGTGAGAAGACTGAGTAAGAGAATTTAGTTTGGGAGGTATCACATCACTATAAACAAAATTCAATGCAAAGCTCCTTCCTATAAAAACCAAAAACCCATTCTCTATCTTTTTTCCAAATAGTTATACCATAGTTTCCCTTTTGTTTTAAATTGATAGATAAATTTAGTCACCAGTTGTCACAGATAGATTATTTTAAAAGGCAAGGTTTTTTTGTAATAAAACAAACCATTTAATTTCATCACAGTGGAAACTAGAGTTTGCCAAAACTCTTACATTAAAAACAAAAAATAATAGAAATTACATAGAAAGAAAAGTTAGTCTTTTCTTTTTTTAATGAACTACTTTTCATGCCAAATTTTTGAATGGAAATTTATTATTTAAATTTCTTTATATCTCCAATCAAACTTGCATGCTCTCCTATTTTGAAATGTCACTTTCTTTGCTTCTGAACCTTTGAGCTAAAGTACATTAAGAAAGAAAGCCAATTAACT